AGCTGGAGGGGGTCCATGCTGCTGCTTCCGGGAGCCGCATGGAGCGGCCCCTGACCCTGCTCCCTGGCTGGAACGCTGGAGCACAGCAAGCCCCAGACCGCGCTTCCCAGCAGGAGCTTGAGGGCCGGCCCACGGGCCATAGTTTGCCCACCCGTGTGTTAGCTGTAGGAGTTAAAAATTTACTTCTCAACACAGAATTTTGTTCAATAAGACATTTAAATTTTAAAATGCATTCATTTAGTCCTGGATATGTAACAAAGACTGAAGTTCAGACAAGAAACTTGACTGCACATCAAATTTTCAAAAGTGCCTAATGGCCTTTCAATGGACTTATGATCTTTTGGGCTTCTGCACTGCTCTGAATCTCCTGTGTTGTGGTCCCATCCTTAACATGCCCTTCCTGGCCCCAGCCCTGCTTCCAGCATGCCCCCATAATGGCCTTATGAGGGGATCCTCGGAAAGCAGACCTATAGCTGTCTGTCATAATGCATGTGATAGAAGAATCCTTCCCCACCAACTTGATCAGTTGGCAAGAGCAAACGGGACAAATGCCAACTTTTGTCAAAAAAGCGGCATGCAGTGCAGAGGAATGTGTGGGGGAATGAGTGGAGATGCCACCCCTTTGCAGGGGGGAAGGGCTTGTGCGGGGGCATGCAGGTTTCCAGCGACCCCAGCCTAGCGTGTGGGGGGAGGGCAGACACGGTTCCAGCAACCCCAGCCTCATAGGGGCTGGGGGGTGCGGAGGGACTCGGGCGAGCAGCTCAGGCCAGCCCTGTGCTTAGGGGCGGGGAGGGCTCAGGCCAGCCCTGTGCAGTGTCCCATTTTCCCTTTGGGAAATACGGTCACCATAATCACACACCATTTTCCCACAGAACTTGTCTCATTTAGTGAACATTGAATGTACTGTTTCTTTTTATATTAGGTGCTGGAACTAGCCACCCCACTGGCTTGAAGTGGTTTCTAGCATATACAGGGTTTACAGTTTGGTTTAATGTATCTCAGCACCCCCACTATACAAATTGCTCCAATACCCCTGTCATCTTATCATTCTCATTCAGTGTGTTATTTTATGCACACCATTCAAACTCTCCGCACCTAACTCTGCGCTGAATATAAAATTATATATAAATTAATGAATAATAAATAAAGGAATAATTTTTCAGGTGTGCAACTCCTACTGATTTCAGTTGATTGCCATTGATTTAAATGGGATTTTAGACACTTCTGAAAATCTCACGAGGCACTTATCTGCATCTTTAGGCACCTGAATACCTTTTAAAATCTGTCCCTTAGTTAACATACCATATTTCTTTGCCTGCCACATAAAAATGGAAATAAATCTGAGGTAAAGCCAACTTTCTGTACATAAAGGTATCTATTTAGTTAAACAATTCTCCATTTCTACAAGTCTTTTCAAGACAACAGGCATTAACCAATGACTGAATAGTAGCAGATGTTCAACTGAAGCACTGGGTTTTGTAACAGAACTGAAAAGAGAATAGACGTGATCTCAAGCCACACATGGCTTGAGTTTAGCTTGATTCAGTTATTAGTATTTATTATTTGTATAAAGGTGGTGCCTAGAAGTCCCAGCCATGGACCAGGGCCCTGTGACATTAGGATGATGTGATGTTTTGGGGATATCCCAGATCAGTCAGGGGTTCTGTCACCCTTGTAACTTTGGGTGCTGTCACGCTATGCTGCTATGGCTCATAGTCCTGACACCAGTAGCCACCCCACAAGCATAAAGGTCTCACCCTGACTTCCAGCAGCCTAGTATCAGAGGGGTAGCCGTGTTAGTCTGAATCTGTAAAAAGCAACAGAGGGTCCTGTGGCACCTTTAAGACTAACAGAAGTATTGGAGCATCATTGGTCTGATGAAGTGGGCATGCACCCACGAAAGCTTATGCTCCAATACTTCTGTAAGTCTTAAAGGTGCCACAGGACCCGCAGTTGCTTTTTCCAGCAGCCTAGTTACTCCAAAGGCATGAAACCAGCCCCCCAGTTATCAGTTCACTTTGGCACACACAGTCCACACAATTTACACAACAGAGACCTGCTTGGGGTAAAAACAAACAAAAAGATTTAATAGACAATGGAAAGTGGGGGAGGGATAGCTCAGTGGTTTGAGCATTGGCCTCCTAAACCCAGGGTTGTGAGTTCAATCCCTGAGGGGGCCACTTAGGGAATCTGGGGCAAAATCAGTACTTGGTCCTGCTAGTGAAGGCAGGAGGCTAGACTCAATGACCTTTCAAGGTCCCCTCCAGCTCTATGAGATAGGTATATCTCCATATATTATTATATTATAAAAATCAAAGATGAAATAGTAAGAAAAAGCAAACACATACAAGTTACACAGAAAACAAATACAAAGATGCAACTTCAGGCTTTGCACTTCTATGTTAGATAAATTCCCTTTTCTCATACAAGTTACCTATTGCCTTTGAACAGTTTCCCAGCATGCCCCCTAGCCCTCAGGGCGGATCCAGCATTCACAGAAAGCCCCCTGCCTTTGAAAGTGTCCCTCAGTTTGGATAACTTTCATTTAATCTCTGCCCTTCTCACAGGGTTTGCAGGATTTTTTACCCCCTTCCTCTCAGACAGCGGTGATTCCTGGTGGAAGAAATTCCCTCTCAACTTGGTAGTCAGGGCATCTCAGTGTTTGCCCCTTACCTGTAATGGTCCATCATTTGTCTTTTCCTGAGATGTACCAGGGATCGTTTCTTGCATCTGGTTTTGTGCAAACACCTGGTTTGGGAGGAGGCCCTCCCTGCTGTGAGGTGTATTTGAAATTGTAGTACAGGCCATGAGCATAGTATTCTATATACATACATACATAGATTCATAACCACAGTGTGTACACATCTCATAATGATCAACAAGTTCAGAACATTATAAGCTTTCATTAAAGATCTTACTTGACATATTTTTAAACACAACAGCATTGTATACAACCAGTTGATTCAATTGCTTATTTTTTGAGGTTCAGACCCACTGTTCCCCCTTGAGGTGTCTGGACCCTGATTGTCACAGAGGAATACTAAAGATAGGTCTGTCACAGTTCAGGGCAACTGCACCCATATACCCCCTCTGTGGTCCAGCAAGCATACCCACTCTAGGCTCCCGACTCCTCAGCCATTGCCTCTCTTGGGCAGAGACCCATGTCTCTGTCCCTTCTAAATGGTAGGGTTGCCAACTTTCTAATAGCAGAAAACTGAACACCCTTGCCCCACCCGCTGCCCTGCCCCTTCCCCAAGGCCCCGCGCCTGCCCTGCCCCTTCTTTGAGGCCTGCCCCCTGCTAACTCCATCCCCCCTCCCTCCCTCCCTTGCTCACTAGCTCATTTTCACTGAGCTGGAGCAGGGGACTGAGGTGTGGGAGGGGGTGAGGGCTCCAGCTGGGGGTGCAGGCTCTGGGGTGGGACCGGGGATGAGTGGTTTCAGGTGCAGGAAGGGGCTCTGGGTTGGGGCTGAGGGCATTTGGGTGTGGGAGGGGGCTTGGGCAGGGGGTTAGGGCACGAGAGGGGGTGCGGGCTCCAGGTGGCGCTTACCTCAGGCGCCTCCTCAGAAGCTGCTGGCATGTCCAGCTCCGACGCAGAGGCACAGCCAGGTGGATCTGCGCGCTGCCTCCACCCACAGGTGCTGCCCCAACAACTCCCATTGGCCACAGTTCCCACCCAATGGGAGCTGCGGAGCCGGCTCTCGGGCAGGGGCAGCGTGCAGCGCCCCCATGGCCACCCCTATGCCTAGGAGCTGGACATGCCAGCAGTTTCCCGGGAGCTGCATGGAGCCAGGTAGGGAGCCTGCCTGCGCCACCGACTGGACTTTTAGCGGCCCAGTCAGCGGTGCTGACCGGAGGCGCTAGGGTCCCTTTTCGACCGAGTGTTCCAGTTGAAAACTGGACACCTGGTAACCCTATGGACTGGTGTTTTTCCAGGATGCACTGTTCCCTGTCTACACTGATATTCCTAGTCAGACTGCCTAAGCAGGCCAGCATCTGAACGTTGCTTATTCTTTGAAGGCTATGAACAACGTAATTGCCAGCAGCCAAGTTACCCCATAGTTCTTTATAAGCAAGCACATTTATTCTTAAGGTGAAAACATTACAGAGAAAACATATTAAAAAGAATAAAAGAACTTACACGCATGCTAAACACTTATTTGGAATCTGGCAAGTGTCAGTCCTTCCAGCCCTTCCCAGGAAGGATTGGGGCCTCTTTGGACATATCAAGTATTATCTTTGGCATTTAATAGCGTAATACCTCCCAAAAATATTGCAGGAAACTGCCATATTTGTCACAAGGTCGTGTGGCCATTAAACTCTTCACTTATTAAAATGAAATGAGATCAGGAGTATAAAGGGGCCCTCAGATTATGTTATGGAATGACAGAAACAATAACCTACTCTTACCTTTGTGTTTTCTGGTTATGACCTTGTGGTTTCCCTTAAAAACACCATGGCATGTTAAAATATACTGAAAAGCTAAAATATTTCATTAAAATATTGAAATTTTGCCTTTCAGAAATCCCTGCAACTGGGATAATTTGCAAAGCATTCACCCAATTTATGTTACAAATGAATAATTCAAAGGAAAAGCATTTAGCCAGAAAACCATATGTAAAATGATATGTAGCATATGAAGAAGACAGATGACTCCCCTCCCGCTTCCCAGTAATGATCAGTGTTTCCACCATAATAACAGTCCTTACAATGTAACTGCATTTCTGCTGCTTTTGATTCTCTTGGGGGCAACTACCCCTTTGCTCGCCCAGACTGAAGCTGTAGTGAGCCAGAAATTACACCAAAAAATGTTGGGTCAAGTCCAGGAAAAAAGAAAAACACGGCATTTAGTGGCTGTTTTATTTTTAACTCTGGGTTTTGCTCCCCAAGCCAGCTGGCCCTGAGAATGCTGGGGAGACACTGAACTCAACCACTTGTGGGAGGAGGTGCCTCCCATCCTTCATCAGTAAGCTTTCTGCTTGATTCAGAAACAGCACTCACCATTTTCAAGCCCCCTCATCCAGTCTTCCTTGGCCAGAAAGCTGGTATCCACAAAGCAAGGACTAATCAGCGAAGGATGGAACCCTGAAGGATCTAGGAAGGTCATCAAAAATGGAAGAGGCTTCCCCTGAAAATGTGCAATTCCAGATTAAATGAGCCCTCAGTCTCTTTAATGAACTTCTTTATGAAGATATCAGTAGGGACTAAGTGTTAAGTGTACAAGTATTAACATTCACATTGTGGTTCCTTCTCATTAAGGAAGTTGTCCATGATACTTTTGACAAATTAAAATCTGCTTGGGCAGCTTTCGTATCTCTAATTTCCATAGTGTCAGTTCTGCTTTTACATATTACTATGGATTTTCAGTGGAATAGCTGACGGCAGATTTGGGCCCAACATTTCTATTATTCAGATGCATACATGAGGCTCCCATTGACTTCAGTCAAGTTATCTTACCAATGTATGGTGTACTGTATTTGTTAGCCTGTTCAAATGCAGGGTTATAGCTTCACCACTGCATGGCAGAGCTTTATATTACTAATGCTTTGCATAGTTGCCTGATATTCTGGTAACAATTGCTCCAGTAAACTGAGCATATGTACTTGCCTAAACTGCTTATGAAACTGTGTTTTGAGTTGTGTCCAGTGTTGAGTAGAATGACAAACCCATACAGTGAAAAACACAACAGCATGCAGCCAGGGGAAGAAATTGGCCTTCAAGGAAATCTAAGACTAGATTAAGATCTGACACATTTGGATCTGACACGTTTTCATTATAAAGTGTATACCATTCTATATGCATTTGAGTCCTATTCGCTACAAAGTTTCAGTTAACAGGAGACAGTTTACCTGGCAAAAATCCCCTCCTCCTCTTCATCGTAGGAATGGTAGTAGGGTCTTCTTTCAGCCCTACCAAATCTCTCCCCTGCAGTTGCAAAAGATAGTGGAAGCCAAGGAGAAAAAATGGTGTGATGAGAGAGGAATCCTGGTGCCGTTGTCATTCCCAGCAGGATACAGCTGTACACAGGGCCGGCTCCAGGCACCAGTTTAACAAGCAGGTGCTTGGGGCGGCCAAGGGAGAGGGGCGGCACCTGCGGCAATTCGGGGGCGGCAGGTCCCTCACTCCCTCTATGAGCGAAGGACCTGCCGCCGAACTGCCGCCGCTGACCGTGGCTTTTTTTTTTCCCCCCATTGCCCCCGCCGGGGGCGCTTGCGAGGGCGGTTTTTTTTTTTTTTTTTTTTTTGCTTGGGGCGGCAGCAATACTGGAGCCGGCCCTGGCTGTACAAGACTTGCCCTGTTCCTCTTCATTCTGTGCTGTGTGTGAGCATATGTGTCCTGTTTGTTTACAACTATAAACAGATGCTAGCCAGGAGGGGGCCTTGAGAAGGTTTGAGGCAGAAGCTCTACAGCAAAGCAGTGAGAAAAAAAATTAGGAATAATGCCATTTTCCTTCTTCTAATGAAGTTACTTGTTCAGTGTTAGAGGAAGGAGACTCTTTCTGTGACTTCTTACCAGTCATAGGACACGGTCCTAAATTGATTTATTTTGAACCTCCGTAAGTCAGAGAAAAACAAAAACATCAAAATTTAGCCCTGCCCAAGACATTCAGTGAGAAAAATCCAAAGAATGGTTTGACAGGATGGAGTGAATCATTAAGCTCAGAATCTGTTAAAGAGTTCTAATCCCTGCTCTGCCTCTGACTAGTTAGAAGACCATGGGCAAATCAGATTCCTTCTCTGCTTGAATTTCACCATCTGTAAAATAGAGGTTGTAATTTTAGCTTCCTGTTTCACAGGCAAATTGGGCAGGTTAATTATTGGGGACAAATCTGAATTCACTTACTCTACGTTTACACCAATATAATTCCATTGTTCTGAGAGGAGAATCCAGCCCAACAGCTTTACATTACTTTGAAGAACTATATACATATCGAGTATTATCTTTGGCATTTAAATACAAAGGTAGTAAATGCTTTAGAAATATACAAATTAGACAGCAAGAGCCAGAGTCAGTTTTATATATAATGAAGCTCTTCAGCAAGTGCACTGATAGTCTCAGATGGAAAGTGACACAATATATGAATGAAAATATTAAGGTATTACTATTATTACAAAACGTATATTTACTGTGATTTGTGTTTCTAATTTCTTGAACTTTGCAAACTCTGCCTTTAATAGACAGTCACTTTGTGAACTACTACTTTTACACACTTTATAATTCCTGAGGGGTTTTTTTTAATGAATTATATAAACAATAACAATCAAGGTGTAGGAAATTTCCTGGGGATTAATGACTGGCTGGGAGGAACTGAAGGCCCAAGGCACAACCAAGGATCATTAACCCTACTTGATCATTAATCCAAACAAATTGTCTTGTGCCAAGATTGTTATTGTTGTTATAAACTGCAGATGGAAAAAACACTGTCATGTGGATTTTTATTGGAGATGCAGTTATAATTGTTATATTTAGTGCATTTCAGAATTAATTATATTCAGGAAAATTACATTAGCCAGTCAGATTGCCAGAACAACACTTCATTCATCTTACTATCTTTAGTATATTTACTGGAACTATCACAAGCAAAAAACATTTTTCCATGTGCTATTGGTGTTGTTTGTGCATAATGCTTTTATACATTTTGATTCTTATCCTAAATGTTATATTTCTAAAGTTTGTTTCTCACTCACACAAAACTCCCTTGTTTGACTGGAATACTGCTTTAAATTTATTACATTTTAAAAACTGATGTTTCAAAATATTAGCAAGACAAAGTGGATGAGGAAATGGCTTTTATTCGATCAATTTCTGTTGATGAAAGAGACGAGCTTTTGAACTTACACTGAGCTCTTCTTCAGGTGAAAATATGGCTGTTCACAAAGGCTGGCCATTTGGAAGAGGTTATATTTAACTAGAGAGCTCTTAAAATAGCAGGGGGTAGCGAACCCCATAAGAGTCATAGGAACTCCTTTAGGGGAAAGTTCTACTAGTGACTTAGGCCTAGATCTTCAAAGATATTCAAGCACTTAACTCCTACTGAAGTCAATGGGAGCTAAGCACCTAAATACCTTTAAGGATCTACGCCTTAGTGCTGTAGGCTAACACTCACATTTAAATCCATCACCTAGTATTTTAGTGGTTTTTAAATTAATACAAAGTACTAATTGTTTTGAACTGGAGTTTACTATATTTAAATACATAGTTTACTTAAATTTTTTCTCAGTCAGGGCCTGACCCAAAGCCCAATTAAATCCATGAAGGGACCCCCAATGACTTCACAGGACTTTCAATCAGGACCTTGATCATGATCTATCCCAGTTCTTTTCACTTGTTAAGGAGAAGGAAGAGAAAACAAAACCTAACTTTGACACTGCCTCAAAAGTAATGGTTCTCAAATGAGTCTGTTACTACAGGGCAAAGAATTAGGACTTGTATGTGGAACTCTAAACAAAGTATTTGCATTGTTGGTCTCATATGGGAATTAACCTCAGCTGAATTTCCCACTTTATGGGTATGTCTACACTACGGGATTAATCCGAATTTAGATAATTCGAATTTGGGAAACAGGTTGTATAAATTCGATTGTGCGCGGCCACACCAAGCACATTAATTCGGTTTTTAACCACATTAATTCGGTGGTGTGCGGCCACACTACCCCATTAATTTTAACCACATTAATTCGGTGGTGGCGGCCACACTAACCCTAATTCGAATTAACAAAATCGATTTTGGCACTACTCCGCTCGTCGAGGTGGAGTACAGAAATCGATTTAAAGCGCCCTTTAATTCGAACTAAATGGCTCTGTTGTGTGGACGGGTGAAGGGTTAATTCGAATTAACGCTGCTAAATCCGAATTAATCCCGTAGTGTAGACCAGGCCTATGACACTTAAGAGCTAAGAGCTGGGTTGTATTGGGATCACAATATATGAATGCAAAGTATTAAGGTATTATTATAAAAAGCATTGTTTACTATGATTTGCGTTTCTAATTTTTGTGTTCCAATTATTATCCTTAGTCGCAACCATAACATACTTTTACTGTCATGGTCAGCCCCTCTTAAAGTTCTAATTATCGTAGCTTTCTTTACAAGTCAAATTCTATTTTTAATCCATACTGCAGTATTAGGAAAACCACAGCCATTGCAGTATGACCTCTGCTTCAGTTCTTTCAATTAAACCATTAAACTACAGCTGCTCTCAGCGTACTACATGTCATATCCTGAACGAGTGCTAACAAATTCTTGTGTGTTAGTGAAAGGTTCCCACTGAGTAAGGTGAAATTCAGACCATGAGCTTTTCCTATTTACTCATAATATTGCAATAAACATGACAGAAGCTTGGTATGTGGACAATTTCTGCAAATAAACAGACCCTCTAAATCCTTTTAGGAGCAAGACTGTGATAATTAGATTATTTTAGACAACAGATTTGACTCAAACTCCTGGATGGATTGGAAAAAATATTGAGGATAAACACCTAAGTCCTTCCAGAGTAGCTTGGCAGGAAAGTGGAATAATAGCATTAATTTAAAAAACACTGCCTCTTCAATTATTAGCTTTCCCATCAGTATTTAATTTTAGGAAACAGTGCTCAGGGCCTTGTGTTTCAGAATGGATAAAAACAGAATGTTTTCAGGAAATATTTCACTGAGATATTTTAATACTGTTAGGCCTGGTCTACACTAACCCCCCAATTCGAACTAAGGTACGCAAATTCAGCTACGTTAATAACGTAGCTGAATTCGACATACCTTAGTTCGAACTTACCGCGGTTCAGACGCGGTCCACACGCGGCAGGCAGGCTCCCCGTCGACTCCGCGGTACTCCTCTCGCTGAGCTGGAGTACCGCAGTCGACGGCGAGCACTTCCTGGTTCGACTTATCGCGTCCAGACCAGACGCGATAAGTCGAACCCGGAACTTCGATCCCCAGCCGCCGAACTAGCGGCTGGGTGTAGACCAGCCCTTAGTAGAGTTGTCAGGCGTTCGGTTTTCGATCAGATCGCTTGGTCAAAAAGGGACCCTGGCAGCTCTGGTTGGCACCGCCGACCGGGCCATTAAAAGTCCAGTTGGCAGTGCAACGGGGGCCCGGGACTAAGGCAGGCTCACTGCCTGCCCTAGCTCCGCGCAGCTCCCGAAAGCAGCCGTCAGGTCCTTGCGGCCCCTAGGCGCATGGGTGGCAAGGAAGGCTCCGAGAGCTGGCCCCACCCCGAGTGCTGGCTCCCAGCTCCCATTGGCCTGGAACCGTGACCAATGGGAGCTGCGAGGGTGGTGCCTGTGGACATGAGAGCACCATGCGGAGCCTCCCTGGCTGCCCATGCGCCTTGGAGCTGCAGGAATCTAGCAGCCGCTTCCTGGGAGCTGCAGTAAGTGCCGCTGGGACCCTACACCCCAACCCTGGTCCTGAGCCCCCTCCTGCACCCCAACCCCCTGCCCCAGCCCGGAGTCCCCTCCTGCACCCAAACTCCCTCCCGGAGCCCGCATCCCCCCCCAACACCGCAACCCTCTGCCCCAGCCCGGAGCCCCTCCTTCACCCCAAACCCCTCATCCCTGGCCCCTCCCCAGAGCCTGCACCCCCTCCTGCACTCCAAACCCCTCGGCCTCAGCCCGGAGCCCCCTCCTACACCCCAAACCCCTCATTGTTACCCCAGCAGGTAAGTGGGGAACATGGAGACCTGGGAGATGGGTTGGAAACGAGAGGGAGTGTGGGCTATATTGGCAGAGAGAAAGGAGAGTCAGGACAAAACTGGGAGGAAAGATCAAACCAGTATCTTAGGCTAGGTCTACACTACAGCGGGGGGTCGACCTAAGACACGCAACTTCAGCTACGTGAATAGCGTAGCTGAAGTGGCGTATTTTAGGTCGACTTACCTGGCTGTGAGGACGGCGGCAAGTCGACCGCTGCCACGCC